GTCATTGGACCACTCTTTTAAAATAAAATGAGAGTCCCCTCCCTTTGTCTTTGTGTGAATATGTGGTTAGCATATTAAGTGATCTACCCCTCTTGATAAAGGTGACTCGTAAATTCAGTAACAGCATAGTTGATTCACTAATATAGCCGAACTCTCAAGTATATTAATCAAGCCTTCATATTAAAAGCAAATTATTTTATATTGTATATGTTCATTGAGTATACTTGCTCCATTTGAAGCTGAATGATGCCCTGATTAAACTCCTTTAGGTGGAAGTGTATTATACTTAGGTAGTTTAGTGGCAAACCTGATATAAACATAATTGTAAGGCGAATTAAAAAATTTGACAATGTTGGTCAAATTATCCCTATCATCTTTTTTTCTATAGGAATTCTCTTTCATTATGAGAAGAGTAAGACCAATATTCCTTCCCTTCCACCAGATAGTTTAGGAATTCCACGTTTTTTCTCTAGCATTAGGTCAGTGAGGTTTCTTTAGATGATATAATTCATAGTTTTAGGTAAAGAACCTTAGGACTTAGCTTGATTACTGATGTAGACAAAGGGGGGGTCAACACAAGTTGAGTTTTACTTTTAATTTCTTGCCTTGTGTCTTTTCATCTTCCCCCTCTCCTTACTCTTCATTATCTTGTCCTTTCATCTCCACCTTATCCTTTGGGCTGTTTTGTGGTTTTATGGGAGCCTTGGCTGATTTCGGTTTTGAGCATTAGTTGTTGAAATTTTAGTGGTGCAAGCTCATTATTATCATGTGGAGTTGTAGCTCATTATGAGCTGATGTTTAGCTCTAAATTCATTATGAGGTGCAAGCTTTTAGGTGAGTGGAACTTGTCTCTTCCTCTTCTTTTTTGCCTCTTGAGCTGCTGCATTACTTCCCTCATTAGGCTGCTGGAACCGTGGCCTTCATTGTGCTTTAATGGAGACCTTTGGGGTTTCTCTGTGGTGGAACCCGTGGCCTTTATTCCCCTCCTTTTGCCGTGACTTTATGATGGCTGTTGGGATTAATTCCTCTCCTTTGGAATTGCTGAAACCGTGTATAAAAATCTGTGCTGGAACCGTGGCTTTCTCTACTATGCCGTTGGGGTTTCTCTATGCTGATGTTTCGGATTTCTGTGCAAAGATTTTTGCCTAGGTGCTGTTGGTTTTCCTGTGCTGGAAACCGTGGGTTTCTGCCCTGATGTTTGGGATTTCTGTGCAAAAATCTGATGGCTTTTCAACTCATTAATATGAGAATTTGAACAGTTTTTTGGACTGTTTTTGGACAAAAACCTGAGAGGTTTTTACTTTGGAAATCCTGCGGGCTCTTTCCAATCTTCTTCCCCTCCTCCTATGGAAATCTTGCGAGCTCTTTCCAACCTTCGTCTTGGCTTCTAACCTCTTTCGTCTATCCGCAAGTGCCATTCCATTGTATCCTTCTTCTCTAAGTGAAGCAACTATAGGGTGTCTTGCAAGTGTCATTTGAGTCGTTTGCAAGTGTTCAAGTTGTTTGTAAGTCCTTTTATAATATGAAAATGGTGTTTTAGTTTATTTGTCTAACTAGTCTAATTTTTGTGAGTTCTTGTAATCTTTTATTCTCTAGAAAGAGTTTATTTTTTTGTGATAAAAAATTTGGGTCCCTCTCCCAAATTTTTGATTGCATCAATTACATTCCTGGCAGAGTAGACCTAGGCTCCATTTGGGATAGTTTTTCAACATCTTTGCTTTCAACAAACTTGTATAATCTTGTTTGGCTAAAGCTGCTGCTTTTTAAAACTTTAGTTGAAAAAACCTTTTTTAAAGTAGATCTGATTGAGTAACGTAGCAGAAGATAGATCTTCCATTTTTTTCAAGAAAAAAAGGCATATAATACCAACAATACAACAACAACAACAACATCAAGCCTTTATCCCACTACGTGGGGTCGGCTACATGAATCCTTTTTCTCCATTGTGTCCTATTAAAAGTCAAATTCTCGTTTAAATCTAATAAAGATAGGTCATTCCTACCAACAATAGCTTTAAAAAAATTTAATTTTTTCATAATAACTCAACAACATTTATAGAAAGTTGCAACACCCCCAAATAAACCCTTAGATTCTAAAAACCAGGGATGATGGAACCAACAAATTATGATCCAATCATGTCTTTTTTTAGAGTTCCCTACTTATAACTTTAAACTCCTTTTCAGCCTATTCAATCCTCGTAAATATACTTTGGAGTCATCCTTCAAAATATCTTACCGAATAATTGGAACATAAGCTTAATTCTTTTATCGAGAGTGTTTTTGGGTATTCAAAGATATAATTATTTTGGGAACAATATTCCTTTGTGTAATATCCCAAATTTGAAAAGGGTTAAAATTTTTCAAATTTACCCAAAATAGTGTGTACCCATTTTTCACACAACCTAAAATTCAAATGCAATATTTTTATAAAATCTTACAATTTGTCCCAATAATTTCAGTTTATACATATATATAAGAATTTTGAGCATATATATAAGAGTTTGGGCTGTTAAGAATTTTGCGTGCGAATGCCATGTGATACCATGTTAAATTCAGAGAATTGGAGAGGAAAATACTTTTTTTATTGCACAAAACTATCCATATTTATAATTCTATACAAGATAACTTAATAAAAAAACTAATAATTACATAATCATAATTCAAACATAATTGTCCTAATATAATCCTTCCAAAATCAACCACCCAAATATGAAAGAAGATCAACATGATTCTGGTAAGCCTCCCATAAATTCCCATCTTGGCTGTGGGATCAAATGTCAAGGGATGACTGAGATTTAACAAAAGATCATTGTGATCCAGGTGAACCTCCCACGGATTCCCATCATGGACGTGGGATCAAGTGTCAAGGGACGGCTGGGATTTAACATGACCAAACCATTTATGACAACTCTTTCTAATCTTATCTATCACAAGAACTATTCCAACCGTTTCACGTATAGTGTAAGGCCATGCATCCACCACCTGAGCATCCTCAAAGTTGCTCAAACATTGAGTGATTATTGAGACTTTTTTTTAGTTCCTTTCAATCTTGCAAATTCATCAAAATTTAATAGATTTCTAATGACAAAGTACCAATCCTCTTGGGAATCCTTTTAAAAATATTGCTAATCTCTCAGTAATTCTCCTTAGTAGTTCCAGGTTCACTCTGCATGTCCAACCCATGCCTTCTAAATAAGTCCAATATATTAATCAATGATCAAAATTGAGACAAATTGAGACAAAATTAACTCAATGATCTAGAATCCCAAAATGGAAAGTTAGCAGAAATGATTGCTAAGCATTGTCAATGTGCAATTACACTTCATCACCGAGATCCTCGTCTCCATCCATTAGCTAGTTTCAATATTATGAATCCTAAAATAAATAAAAATTTGCGTAGAGCAGGATGTATATTCAGAGAAAATAAGAAATGATAGCCTCAAACCTAGGCAGAGTAGGAAAGCCTAAACTCGTTTCAATGCCATCATAAGTCTCTCACCAAACTACCAAAGTACCCAACCATGCTACTACCATAAACCCACATCTAAGAAAAGGATTAGTGTTTAAACTATTTCTTCAAAACACTCTTGTTAAGCGCCTCATTTGTGCCAAATTTGATTTAGCTATATAAAATTGAACAATTTCAACGTAAGTTAAAAAACGATCTAGCTCCGATTTCTTAGCTAACTTTTAACACTACCATCACTTGCCCCCAAAACCCCAAATAGTCATTTCAAAGTATAACTTCAAAACTTTACAACAAACACGTCACACAATTTTGCTATTAAATCCACTTTCACAATCTTGTTGATGCTACATTGAGCTAGCTCAATGTTTTTTGGTGCCTAACACTCAAATCCACAAGTGCAACAAGCTTTCTTTGTCATTTTGTAATGTTCACTATCCTTTCCATGTTCTTCTCATAATAAACCCTGGTAGCTCATTATTACATCTTATGACTCGTTTCATCGGCCTTCTTAATTGCTTTGCAGAAGGAAAAAGTGGGCCAAAACAAATGCATCTCTCTTAGGAATAAAGTGTAGCTACATTTCAAGAAATTAGCTTTCAAAAGCTATTTATAGAACAAATTTTGAAATTTCTTCGTATAGAAGCTCTCAATGCAAAAAAGGTAGGCACAAATCAAAAGCATCTTTCTTGGGAAAAAGTTGAGCTATATTTCAAAAATTTTGTTTTGAAAAAGCTATGCACTATTTAGAACAATTTCTCAATTTTCATTATTAAAAGGAGAAACCCAACCAAACCAGCTCTTAATTAAGTTGCATGACAAATATAATACATTTAACCTATTAAATTAATGCATTTTTTCTTAACAAAATTACAATAATTTCTCTAAAATAGTCCCATTGTTCCATCTTGATCAAGATGTGGATATAAGAAAAAGATATTACTTGTTTTAAGAACAAATCATCAGCTTAAAGACCCTTAATGACTTTACTGTCATTACAAGCATGACCAACTCTTCTTGAATTTATAAGCCTGCATATGGTCATTACTAGGAGTATGTTTTATGTTGGTCAAAGAATAGCACATATCATGATGAAGGATATTTTTGAAAAACTATCACTATCATGTTGCACACACATCCTTAATAAAATAAATTATCAAAATCATGGAGCCATTTTGTATCTCAAAAATTAGAATAGAGGTAATATGCCTAAAGAAGATAGCCTACATGATAACATAACTAGAGTACAGGTTAGTACTTCACGGGTGAGGTGTAGATCTTAAAGTCAAGTTTGCATGACTATGTGTATGCGCATTTTCTTATAAGCATGCCAAATTCAATCATGACTAAGAAAATTAAATAGAAAAATCATCAATAAAAGCACAAAGTCAACATACTACTGAAATTGCATGCTTTTTCAACTAGATTAATGCTTCTATAAATTAAGAAAGCTAAGGAAAGGTTCATTAAAAGAAAATAAATAAATAAATTAGAAGACTTCTGACCATCATTTGGTAAACTTTCGTGCCTATTACCTTCAAAGTCTTGCGCTGTACGAGGTGGCCAAGAAAAACCATTAGGCGATCAATTAACTCCTCTTCTGCGATTTTTCCCTGGCTTGCCTGATAACATATTACAATAAAAAATATGAAAAAAGCGTCTTACATAGCAAGATGGTGTTTATATAATATGCAGGTAAACTGAAAATGAGGAATTAATGAAGCACATTTCTTTTTTCTTCTATTAAAAAAAAAAAACATGAAAATAAGAAAGAATGGTTTTGCATAAGGAGCTAGTAGCATCAAGATAATACTGCAACACAAAAGAAGGCTAGAAAAAATAATATGACAAACAATCCAGATGAAAAGAATAACTATGACAATTATGGAGCCATCCTACACCTCAAATTACCATCATGCCTGAACCGAATTAATTAGGACCTGTTACAGTGCCTTGTCCCAAACTTTCCATGTTTGTTGAATCTAGTACATGAAGTACTACATTACCTATTGACTTGGCTGAAACTTCCTAGAGCCAGAAGACACAGGATTCACGTATCATGGTTCGCCCATACCTCTAAGATAGCCTTAATAAAATCAGCTTATTAGGCTTTAATCAAAGTGGTTAATGCTAAATTAAATCTAATCCCAATATAAGTTACGGTAACCCTCATTTCCCATCAAGTCAGGTTGATAATCACTTAACCCATAAGGATCTTGCCATCAAACGCAACTGGCATTCAATCCTGTCAATCAAGAAACTGGCTCAACCTAAACTAACGATGGATCCAAGCTTAGCTGAAAAAATTAGCCTTGAATGATGGCACATTTAACTCGGATAGTATAACTCAACAGCCTAATCAGTACTTGAACCTCTATTAGTGCACCTAAATTTGGGTATATCCGGCTAGTTTAGCCAGTCATCCTCACATGGTTCATAGGGCTCAGCCTAAACCAGCAACATCAACTTCTCTTGGGATAATTAAGTCAGAAAGATGAGCAGAGGCTGAAATCACTTAACTCCAACCAATAGAAATCACTTAACTCCAACCAATAGAATTGGCCATCAAGATGAATCCAAAATGTTTTCTTTTACTCAATTTAAGTTCAACAACTTAATTAAGTTGAATAAATTCAATTAGCCAGCTTGATTTGTTGAATTAGACTCAGCCAGTTCAATCAAAAAACTAGCTTGACTAAATAATTGTTGCTTGAGCATAGTCACATCATGGTTGAATCAATAGAGCCTTAGATGCTCCCAATTCTAAAAAATTAAAACTCCAAGTCTCTTGGTCCAGTTGGGTACAATCCTGAATGTCCTTGGCCCAATAAATAGTTACTGGGTACAATCCTGATTTTTTTTTTTTTTTGATGGATAAAAAAAAACCAGTTAGAGTGAGAAAGCCTGAGATTTGGAAGTTTTGTTTTCAATTTTTCAGTTCACGGGATTTTCGGTCTTCGATGGTGGTGGACGGTCGCCGGCCCCCCTTGGCCGGCGGACCGTTTGAGGAGCGGCTCTTCTGTACGTCCCCTGATTGGTGGAGCTCGTGGTGTATCATCATCTCCTCCTGCATTCGGAGATGCAGGACATCTTTCAATCTTGGCATTAAGTTTAATGCTAAGACGAGTAAGCCCTTAATCATAAATGAGGGTGGTTTGCTTTTTAAGAAAAAAGAGGCAGATGTTGTTGGTAAGGGGAAGATAATTTTGGTGGAAGACAACCTGGAGGCTTTGGTTTCACCTGGAATGGCACTGTCTACTATGGGTGATTTGGCGACCTCTCCTTCGTCAAATTCTATAACTGAAGTAAATAATGTTTTGAATGCAGTAGGGAAGGATGTATTCTGTAAGCTGTGGAAAGGAAGGCTCTCCATTGAGGGGTGTAAACGGATCCAATGAGTCTAATGTTGCTGGAATGACTAAGGTTCCGACCACTGTTAGTAATTCACATTCTGATCTGGAGGTGTGTAAATGCATATGTGGTGATCTGGCCAGGTGCGATGAAGTTAATGATGATTTTCCTACTCAGCCTAACTTAAGAAATCAGAAAAATGCTTGGACCAAAAAAGAAAATATCAAAGTTGTTGATTTAAATTTTGGTAACTGTTTATCAGAAGATGACAAATATGTAAAGCTTCATGAACAGAATGTTTTAGAGAATACTAAAAAGCTTGAAAACTCAGTAATAAAAATATTTGGTGGTGATGCTTCGTTTTCTTCAATCAGCTCTAAATTGAGGAAGCGGTGGACTCAATATGGGAAATTTCATCTCACTATGCTTGGAATGGGATGGATTCTCTGTTCGTTCTATGATCCCGAGCATTTGGAAGTTGTTTTAACTAAAGGTCCTTGGTTTGTCAATGGGAACATTGATAGATGGTCCCAAAGCTTTTCTCCGAACTCCCTCAAAGGCTTAACTGCTCCAATTTGGATTAGACTGCCCAACTTACCACTGCATTGTTGGGATGACATAAACATATGCCGTATAGCTTCCATGGTTGGTAAAGCCTTATTTGATTGGCGGCAATATGTTTCAATGGTCCAGAAGAAAATTTGGGAGGGTGTGTGTCCAAATTGATTTGGATGTGAAGCTGCTAACAGGTGTATGGGTAGAAGGAGTTGGAGAAAAATTCTATCAGAAAATTGAGTACAAAAGGATTCCTAACTTTTATTTTGAATGCAGAAAGATTGGCCATGCTAAAAAGGAGTGTGCCAAAGTTATTATGGATAACAGGTGAGGTCTTCAAGGCCTGAAAACACAAATTCTAATAATGTGGTGGAAACTAGTAATATTGGAGGTAATCACGATCCGGTTGTAGATGGGAGCATTGACAAAGAAGGTTATGACCCATGGATGTTGGTTAATTATGGGAAGAAGAAGTTTAACACATGGTTTAAAATTGCGCAATAAGAGGCGCGCCTTGAGGCGCGCCTCTGCGCAATTCCTGAAAAAAACGCCTCAAGGCATACGCAATAGGAGGCAGTGGTGAGGCGTACGCCTCATGGAAGCTGAGGCGCGCCTCTGTTGCGCAATTGCGCAATTTTAAGAGAGGCGTACGCCTCATCCCAAGGGCCCACCTACTTAAAATCTTCCATTAAATCTCCACACCCGATCGGCCTAAGCTCCATCCCGACATTTTCCGCCCGTTTGCTGCTCCAGGTCGCGACATCCAGAGCCCCCCGTCCGCTCGGCTAGCCTTCCCGCCGCCTCTCCCGCCGGCGCCGCCTCTCTCCGGCGAAGTTGAAGTGTCCGGCCGCCTTGTAGGAGAAGTCCACAAAGGATTTTAGGTATTTTTTTTTTACTTTTTGGTTAGATTTTTGAAATGAAAGAAATTTTAGGGTTTTAGATTTTTTGAAATTTTTTGTGTGATTTTCTGAAGATGACATGGCATTCATAGATACAATTGGAGAAGAAGATTCACTTGAAGACTGATATTTTGTGATGGGATATGACTTCATTTTATATGTTTTTTGTATTTTGGGAGTTTTGTTAAACTGATATTTTGTGATTTTGTACTTTGGGACATAATTTTATTGCATCTACTTTCTTATTTTCCATTATTGCTATTATTTTCCTGCTAAAATCCTTAATTTTTCATTTACGCAATTCTGTGTTCGTGAGGCTTACGCCTCAGACCGCCTCGAGGCTTACGCCTCGCCTCACGGACGAAAACCGCCTCGAGGCGCAGTTACGCAATTTTAAACCTTGGTTTAACAATAATGTTAGCAGAAATTTTGCTTCTCGGTTTGAAGGGAGGAGAAATTTTGTAGCCGTAAAGAATAGAGACAAAAGAGTAGAAGACAGAAAGGTTAACAAGCCAATTGAAGTTCTGTAACCAGTGCAACCAGATCTGTTTTGTAACAAAACAAATAACTTGGTTGCTGATAGCAGCAATGCTCATCCAGGAATACCTGTAATCAGCAAGCCTGTTATACTTAATGATGATAATTGTTTTAAAGCTCTCTTGGATCTTGAAGAAGAAGGAGAGATTATTCAATCAAATATTGATAAAAAACCTGTTGAGGTAAACAAAGCCTCTATTGCTAATGTAATAGCAACTGCTGCAGGAAATGAAGAAATAGAAGTTTCTAATTCAGTGCTTCGTGAAGCTGAGATTACTAAAAGTGGGGGGAAGGTAGTCAGTTCTCAGTTAACAAAAAAAAAAGAAAAAATCCAAACAGTTGAGAGACTTGGGTCCAATCAACCCTTCATCCAGGAGCAAAGATTGGAGCCAGAAGGAAAAGGTACATTGGGGAATAATTCCCCTAATCTCAATTTATGTCTTCTATTGCATTTTGAAATTGTAAAGGAGCAAGAAAGAAAAATGCTTCTCTATATCTTAGGGAATTTGTTAAACTTCATGGTGTGTTTTTTTTTGGGGTTTGGTAGAAACAAAATTGACTTCTACTGAGAGAAGTGAAGTCAATCTTATGATTGGAAATGAATGGGATTTTTTCTATGTTCCTTCAAGTGGGTTTTTTTGGTGGCATTTTGATTTTGTGGAATTTGAAACTTGTTGATTTCTCTATTATTGGTTTTTCTGCTCAAGTGATTATTGGTGACCGTAGAATGTTTAACAAAGGTATGTGGAGGGTGTCCTCGGTCTATGAAAGCAAAGAAGTGCAAAAAAGAAGAGATCTATGGGCTATGCTGGATAAACATTCCACAATAGAAATACCTATGGAAATAGGTGGGGATTTCAATTGTATATTGGCCAAGGAGGATAAAATAGGGGGTAGAAGGTTCTTATTTTCTCAAGGTCCGAAGGAGATGAAAGAATGCTTGCTTAAAAATGATCTACATGAAGTTGGTTTCATTGGACCGAAATTTACATGGTGCAATAATAAATGTGGTGGAGCAAGGATTCTTGAACGATTGGATAGATGCTTCATCAATTCAACAGCCTTAAGCTCCCCACATCGTTTGGTTGTGAGACATTTGGCTAGAATAGCATCGGACCATTGTCCAATCCTTTTGAACACTCTTGATTTTATTCCAATCTCCAAAAGGAACATCAAGTTTGAAGACTTTTGAGCATCTTATCCTGCCTCTTTTGTTGTGGTAAGGAAGGAATGGAGCAAAGATTATCAAGGGAACAGTTCACAAGTTCTCAACAAGAAGTTTAAGAGATCATTGAAGTCATTGTTCTTTTGGAGCAAAGCTAAGTTAAAAGATCTTAATAAACTTAAAAAATATCTTATGAAAGATATCATGGAGCTTCAAAATAAAGAATCTATACATGGGTCACTCTCGGAATTTGAATGTTGGAGTCTCAAAGCAAAGGTAAATGAATTGAATTCAACAATGGCTCGATTGAACTCATGGTGGAAGCAAAGAGCAAAGGTGAAGTTGTTAGTAGATGGAGATTGCAATTCAAAATTTTTCCATTCTTATGCTAGTGCTAGAAGAAACTCCAATAGCATTGTCAAAGTAAAGGATGAAAATGGGGTTTTGGTGGAAGAACAAAATCAAATTGAAGAAGTTTTCTTTAAGTTTTTTGAGAGAAAATGGGATATCAAACAATGCAATCTAGATGGATGGCCGGCTGCACTCAAATGCCAGAACAAATATGATATGGATTTCTTGGAAGAAGACTTTACAATTGAGGAGGTGGAGAGGGTGTTGAAACAAACGGGTGGGAACATCTCTCCTGGCAAGGATGGAATTTCCTACACGTTTATCAAAGCATATTGGGACATCATCAAATCTGATTTTTGGAAGGCATTAAATCAATTCCTATGCTATGGGGAGTTGAACAAAGGATGGAAGGAAACAATGATTGTGCTCATACCGAAGGTATCAAATCCTCTTCTCCCTTCTAATTATAGACCTATCAGTCTATGTAATTCTGTTTACAAGGTGGCGGCAAAGGTGATTTTGAATAGATTAATTGAGGTAATACCAAAGCTGATTTCGAAGGAGGAAGCGGCTTTCATCAAGCGGAGATCTTTATAAGATCATGTGTTGGTGGCTCAAGAAATATTTCATAAATTTAGGTTCTCAAAAGATGCTAAAGGACTTGTGTCTTTAAAGATAGACATGGAACAAGCATATGATTTCATGTCTTGGTCTACTCTTAGGAAAGTTTTGGAGTATTTTGACTATCCTCCAAGGTTTTCTAAATTAGTCATGGAGTGTGTGGAAGATCCGACGTTTTCTTTGATTATCAATGGCAATTGCTCAAATTGGATACAAGCTAAGAGTGATTTTCGTTAAGGTTGTCCTTTGTCTCCACTCCTTTTTATCCTTTGTTCTCAACTTCTTTCTAATGCTTGTGCTCAACGCTCTTGTGGGATTAAAATTAATTCAGTAGGCCCGAGAGTATCCCATTTACTCTATGCAGATGATGTAATAATGTTTTCTGAAGCTAATAGGAGGGCTGTAAAGAAAGTCAAGAAAATCTAATATGATTTTTGTGGATGGACGAGACAACGTATAAACATGAGCAAATATGCCATTTTATTTGGTAAATATGTGTGTAGGAAAAAGAAGAAAAGCATCTCTCGTATAATGGGATTCAAAACAGTAAAAGAATTCATATAAACATAATAAGATTTTCAGTTCATTACATATAAAGCTATGAGGATGGTCAACATATGGGGAAGCAAATTCTTATCGTTGGTGAGTAAATTAACATTGGTCAAATCAGTGATGCTGTCATTTCCTACCTTTCATGCTACGCACTCTCTTGTTCTGAAATGAATACTGGAAGAATTAGACAAACTTTGCAGAAGCTTCATTTGGAACAAGTCTAACGGAGCAATGGGTTTACACTATGTTAGTTGTTTTGATCTTTGTAAACCTTTATGTAAGGGAGGCCGAGGATTGTATTCAAGTGTCTTAAAAACTCCTGCTTTAAGAACTAAGTTGTCTTGGAGATTCACTAAAGATAAAAACTCACTTTTACATAAGTTAATGGCTACTAAATATGGTGAAAGGCTTGACATGGGAAATGTTAGAAAATGTTGTTCTTCTTCTTGGAAATTATTAAATGATGGTGGTAAAATGCTGAAACCAATTGTTAGATGGATAATGGTTGATGGAGAATTAGTAGATGCATTCAAAGACATTTGGATGAAGGATAAATGTATCAATTTGTGGCCTACGTTTGTTCCTCCATAGGAGGATGATGTTGTCTTAGTCAAAGAATTCATACTTGAAGGCTATTGGAATGAAGTTGTGCTACTGGAATACTTTGGTAGGGAGTTGGTTAATCTTATCATGCAAGTGAAGATTATACAAGATGGGGAGGAGGATCGAATGGAGCTGCTACAACAAAATTCTAGGATTTCTATTGCTGGCTTGGTTTTTAGATCTTCGGTGCAAGAAAGCTTTGAGTTTCAGCATTGGAAGTGGATCAAAAAAGCTAAGCTAAGTGCTCGGGTTGATGTGTTTTTGTGGAGACTAAGTAGAAATGCAATCCCGTCACTTCAATTTTTATGGTATAGAATATTATTGGACAATGCCAATTGTCTTAGAGGCTATAATGAGATTGAAGATGTAGAGCATATTGCGTGCAAATGTCTTAAGCTTATAGAGGTAATTCATCACTTAAAGCATTGGGGATTTGGAATTCCTATATTTGATAGTTTTGAAGATTGTCTTAGATGGTTGGAATTTCTTGCTTTGTAGGATGGTATGATCCTTAATCTTTACTATAATGCAGTCTTCTTATCTTGGAAAGCTATGAATAAATATATTCATGAAGGAGTGGAACCAAGCCCTGTTTTCATTGCTTCCAATGCTATATGTTACACATCGATTTCCTACAGCTTGAGCCATTTCAAATTGGGCCACTAGGATGTTAACCAGTCATACAAATTGTCTAATATTTAGCATCCTCCTCCACCCGAATGGCTAAAGGTCAATGTAGATGCATCTCTAGTTTCTTCATATACAGCAGGTATTGCTGGAGTCTTCCCGGGATTGTAAAGGTAGATTCCTCTTGGCATTTGGCGGATCTTGTGTTTATTGGGACATTGCATAATTGGAGCTTCTAGCAATTCATGAAAGATGTGATCAAAGTTGGAAGTTCAAGTACAAAGGTATTATCATTGAAGGTGACAATTCGAATAATATTTCTTTTCTTCAAAGAATTTGGAGATGTGGGAGCTACAAAGAGGATGATCTTGGTTTTCTAAAGAAATTTAATTTTGTCATTTTCAATTGTATAGGAAGGAAAAGTAATAAGTTAGCAAACTTGTGTACTAACTATGCTCTTTTTAGTAGTTTTAGTTGGGAAGAGTTTAGTTTGAATAAGGTTCCTCCTTCAATTTTTAATATATTGAAGGAGGAATCAACTTTGTAGTTTTTTTTTTGTCTTTATGTTTTTAATATAATGCAAGCTTTTTGCTTTTTCAACCAAAAAAAAAAAGTAGAAAATTAGTGAATCTATGAGCACCTGACCATTCAGAAGCTTAGTGGGTCACTAGTTAGATCCACTAAAGGAACATCATACTTGTCAGTGTAGCCCAACCACTATAAATAGCATCACAGGTGCTTTCCCGTAGACCCTTCCCTAGTTGCTAGAACAAAATCGACATGTCAAAAATCAAACATTTCCAAGAACTTCTCACTTGAAATGAACAATTGTGGGCTCCGAAAATTCGGCCCCGGCCTCCCCGCCGCGCGATTTCTTTCTTTTTTCTTTTCTGGGCGAGGGAGTTTTAACGGAATAAGTTCCGGGGTAAAGTTTGGAAGGCAGATGGGTTTGTAGATAAGACACTACCCAGAGATTTCACCCTCATTTACGAGGACTTTATGATCTGAGTTATGGTTTCCTATAGGCGCAAGCCCCTATAGTTAATTACCCCTCCCGATCACGAGAGAGAACTTTCGATTAAGGCTAGTCGTCGATCAGATACGCAGAATATACGTGTTATCTGGCATATAGTAGCAGCAATAGGTTTGAGATTGGAAAGATTGAATATTGATAGAATTTGGATTTGATTATTGGGTTTGGACATGCTTCTTTTCTTTAGGAAGAGTTGGTGATTTGGGAAGAGCCGGCGCTGCCTTCTTTCTTCCTACACGCTTCTTATCACCTTCTTGCTTGGGTTTCTTTGCAGCCTTAGAATTTGATGCTCTAGCCTCAAGAGAACTTGATGACTTTTGCTTCTTTGACATGAAGTACTTAGCATCTTCATAAACTGTTACTTCATGTACTGCAAAGGGCTGAATATCGCCAGAGATCCTGAATTCTTCTCCTTCTCTGAGATATTTCATACACTGGTGTAATGTTGAAGGGATAACGCCATAGTCGTGCAACCAGGGGCGACCTAGTAGCGCCTTAAATGAGGTGCCTGCATCAATCACATGGAATTTAGCTTCTGTATGGAGCTCTCCAAATACAAGAGGGAGCATAAATGATCCAAGAATTTTCTGCCCTTTCTCATTGAAGCTGTGTACCATCAACTTGTCTTGCCCAAGATGTTCCACATCAAGGCACAATGATCTCAATGCTTTCAAGCTCATGAGATTTACGGAAGATCCAGGATCAATCAAAATTCGACTGATCACCATATCGTCGCTTTCTGCCGTAACATACAATGGGCGATTGTGATCTGCCGTTCCAAGCATCATATCATCCTCAGCAAAGGTGATGAGGGGCTCATTTCGAGCTTGCAAGACTTCCGTCAAGTTGCGTTCAGCAAAATATGCCTCATATCTTTCAGGGTCCTTGAGAGCTTGAATCAAAGTCTCTCGAAGGTCTTTAGACATCAAGAGGGCGTCATATATACTGAGTTGTGCTGGGATCTTCCTCAAGTGGGATAAGATATTATAATCTATCCCCTTGGATGAAGTCTCTTTCTTCTTGGAGTCTTCAGAGATAATATTTTCATTGATAATTATCTCCTTTCCTTTATCTTTGTTAGGAGCTCCTTTCTTCAGTGGAGGTGGCAGTACTTTGCCACTCCTCAACTGTACTTGGGCCACCTCATCTGATTCAGACTTATTTGATGAATCATTCTCTTCAGAATCAGCCATTGTTGTGTCTGGGGATTCATCTGTAGACTCGGAATCGTCTCCCAACTTCACTTGTTTCATTTGTGATTCTATGCTTGGGTCTGAATCTTCATCATCTGGAAAACATAGATCATCTGAACTGAATTCCATTGATGATACCATTAGACAGACCTCAGGGGCCGCTTCTTCAGCGTATTTCTCCCTTTCTGATATCTCTGATGCCACAGATATGACTCGACATGTCTCTGTAGGAAGGGATTCAGCCTCAGCTTCTTCTTCCTTTTCATCTATTTTAAGCTCTTTCATAAAATCACCGAGCTTGATAGGCCTCCTAGCAGTCTGGTAATATTCACCCAAACCATCAATAGCCTTTTGAGTTACAGTGTTCTTCGTCATAGGCTTCTTCAACTTGGCTTTCTTCTTTGAAGACTTTGGCTTTGCTTTGCCAGATTTGGATGAGCTAGCTTGGCCAGGTTGCTCTTTAGAGGTGGATACTTATGATACAGGCAACCATTTTAAGTTCAATACTGGCTCAGTAGGAGACTTCCACTTGACACCAGGAACTCCTTCTAGCTGTTTCAGCATTTTTGTTGTCTTCTTGGAGACCACGGTCTCCCATTGCTCACCTTGAACAGATTTTTTTGTTATTGTTTCTTTAGACGGGAGTACGGAAGAGGACGTGACTACCCGGGTGGATCCCTTTCCGGGACGAACTAACACATTATCTGATAATGTTAATTCTCCCCTTTTGTACATCTTTTCCAACCAATCTTTGAAGACATAACAATCTTCAATTGGATGGCTAACTACCCGATGATATGGACAGTAGTTTGGGTCGCCACTATGTTTGGACTCTTCAGGTCTTTTGCATTCTGGCAATTCTAGACCGTTCTTGAGTGCTTGTCGAAATAGTTTAGCGACACTCTCCCTTTTAAATGAATATTCTTTATTCATTTTCTCCTTCAGAGAAGGGAACGTTCTATCACCAGTTCCCGTGGGTTGCCTCTGGCGCTCTCCTCCACCAGGAAAGGCTCGAGGTTTATCATTTCCTCCAAGAACCAGTTTTGGTTGAGGGATTGAATTGTAAGCCTGTTTTGGCTTTTCTTCGTATTGCATTGGCTGCTTTCCTTTATCCACATTATACACTACCCGTTTACCTTTATCAGGTCTGGGAGGGAATGCAGAGTAAACCTCATTCTTTCTGGCATCAGGAGCTTTCGCCTTTTTGGATTTATCAGGAAAGCTTTCAGACATTGATAATTTTAACTTCTCAAATTTTGCCACCCTATCCAACAGATCTTGGAAGGTCATGATAAAAGCCATGCATAAGAAGGGTTGCATTTTATCATCAATATTCCCCATCAACAGTTGAACTGCATGCTCTTCTTCCAGCTGCTGCTCGCACTTCATGCTGAGATTGCGCCAGCGTGTTATATACCTCGTCACTGATTCGTCTTTTCTTCTTTTATCGAGAGCGAGATCAGCAATGGTAGTCTTCTCTGTTGCACTGGCAAATCTTTTCACGAACAATGCCTCTAGTTCTGCGAAGGTCTTTAGAGAATCATTTGGCAGCTCAGCATACCATTCGAAAGCAGTTCCACTCAAGCTGCTTACGAATTGCCTGAATAGCAGGGCATCATTACCCCCTGTGTTCCCACAGGTAGCTTTGAATTGTGCGAGGTGCTGCCTGGGATTTTTATTTCCATCGAAGATGTTAAACTTCGGTACAGAATATCCCTTTGGATAGGGCACTTGATCGTATTCTGTCGGGTATGGGCAACCTTTTCCTACCAACTTCTCTGCCTGTTCAGCACCTATAATGGCCTTGATCTTTTCACTGATTAAGCCTTCCAACTGCGATGCAGTTACAGGTTCAGAGGCACTCGCCACATTTTGTGGAGTACGCTGGCAGGTTGGATCATCAGTTTTTTTGCCACCTTCAAGTACACCTTTCACTCCTGAGCCTTGAGACGCTTGAGGGTTTTGAGAATTAGCAGCTTGGTTGACGGGTTGGGCCGGTGCAGGGCCCACAGAAGTGGTCTTCTGCATCATTTCCATCATGGCCGTCATCTGAGTCATCATCTCAGTCATCTTATCATTCAACTGAGAAATTTCTCTATCTTTCTTTCGCATCTGTCGCCTCATTTGATTTCTCATTTCAGCGAGTGTGATGTCTTCACCTCCGAAGGGATTTTCTCCGACCTCTTCTTCTTCCTCATCTCCTTCTTCTGAGGAGCGAGCACTTCGGCTGGCAATGGATCTA